TATAATAGGAACTTTGCCCAATAGATGCGCGAGCAAAATATCATCAACTTATAAAGAAAACAGCTAGCTTCAACTGAGAAAAAAGAATACAAACAATTGTTCTTATCTGATAAATATTTTTTTAGTTGCTGTCAACAATCCTTTCTTCATGTAATTGTTACTCGCGAGCAACAGTAGCTCTTTTCTCTTGGCTCCCAATTTGCTGATGAGATAAATCCTCTTCTTTCATCTTGCTCCTTTATCTCTTCATTTAATAGATCTAGTCATCTAGACCCCGATTGTGCTCACCAGTCACCGCTCACGCATCTAATGGTTCGTTTGGGACGGCTTTGTTATTGATTTCTAAGACGGAGTTTTAGTACAATTTTTTTTAGTTTTGTACCAAAACTCTGTTTTAGAAAGCAATAAAAAAGCCGTCCCAAACGAAGCCTAAATCCGGCCATGTGCTTTTCTGTTGTAGGTTCCTTGAATGTATAAAAAATATTTTTTGGTGAAAATTTTTAAAGTAAAAATGTATTAGTTGAAAGATGACATGGAAAGAATATTCTTGAAATCAAACAAATTTTTTTGAAGAGAAATCTTATATATTATGCTTTTCAACACTTCCCATTGATAATGCACCCTTCATAAAGCTTGTGATCGACATCATTGTTGTTAAAAGTTGACAACGAAGATAATATTTTGGAGTGGTGATAATGGTTATTTTGATTGTTATTTATTTTGTTGCGATAGTTAAAAGAAGACAACTATGATTCCTTCATTATTTTGATTGTTATTTATAACAAGTTATGAATATTTTATGGTTGTAAGAGTAAGTGTTTATTAAGCACCTAGTGATTGTTTAATATTGTTGCGGACTAGAATAATCGTGGCGGTAGAGTTAGTAAGTTTTTCATCTTAGCAAGGCGCGCACGGATATCCAACACAAAAACAGAGAGTTAGTCAGCGGCCTGGTGGAAGTCTATTGGCTGTCGTCGGCTGGACGGTGGTCCGACGAAGGTCAGGCTAAGGTCTGACTGCGGTCAGAGCCAGGTGGAAGTCCGGCGGCAATCGATGCTCGGGCGGTGGTGCTGGAGTTCCTAAGGCTTTAGAGCTCTCTCCAATCTATAGCCAAAGGTCTCCATTATATAGAGAGTATGGGTCTATTTTTAAATTTTCATGAGTGGCACACCCCGTAAATATAAAGAAGAAATGGGGCATGTTCAGAGTGCTCCATCGGATGGCTTGTATTGATTTCCCCCATCATAAAGAGTTTTTTAACTGTTTAAGGGCCTTAACGATGTCGGAATTTAGCGATCTTAGGCTCGTTGGATTTTTTTTGTCAAGCCGTTTGATTTGATTATTAGCATGCCATATTTGGATATATTTTGTCATCCAAATAATTCTTTGTCCTTCCAAATGTGGTTTGGGCCCTTGATTTGGACCCATTTGGGCCCGGGTTGGATCGATTTTGTTGTTGTTAAATGTTTAGTTTGACAATAAGTTTGTTGAAATTGAAACTCAGATGATCGTGAATTTAATTTTGAAAGTTTTCAACTTGAATATATCCTGAGATTTGTGCTCTATCAAAGAAATTTTTTGATGACGTATCAAATATATATTAATTTCATAATAATAATGACTCATGATTACCAAAATTTGACTTTGTTAATTCATAATTTTAATATTTAGCCAATTTTTTTCAATTTCGTTTGAACTTTTTAGTTACATCCAAAATGATTTGACAAATATCCTTACTGCTTAGAGCACATTAGAGCACAACGTGAAAAAAGCAGCATCATTTTGTCTTTACTTCTACCTATTAATTGCAATATAATAATTTGTTTTGAATTTTTGTTTATATATACATTCAAAATGATTTGTCACCCCTAACAGCAAAAACTTACTTTCTACAATAGCTTAAAAAAAAAAAAATTACAGTAACTTTATGAGGTAGTAAGAAAGACATCCCAAATGAAGACCAAGAGGCTATTTGGCAACAGGTAAGATTTAGTAAAGCCTGCAAATCCAAATTTAGTAAATTCTAGTTATCATAAATTATGAAAAGTATTTGGCAAGATATATTTCAAATCTTGAGAAATTATTTGGCAACGATAATCATGGACTTAATACGGTTAGTTTATTAAAAATTTAAATTCGATTTCCCTTTAAATTTAAGTTGTGTTAACTATGAGTTACTTAATAAGCTTAATTTTAGTTGCCATTAATTAGTTATAAAGATAAACAATATAATTAGAAGTTATCTTAATTATTAAATAATTTAACTAATAATTTAGTATTAATCATCTAATAACTTGTCTAGGCATTAATTTTGCTAATTATATTGATAATTATATATTAATCATTTAATTATTATTTACAATAATTAATTATTAAAATATTATTTACTTTTTTTTATTATTGATTATCCAATTTATCATTTAAGCATTATATCACTAATTTATTTATTAATTTAGTATTTACAGTGCTAATTATGTAATTTATTATTTTTATTTAAAATCATATTAATAAGTGAATTAAATTAATTCCAAGTTTGCTTCAGTTCCTGTGATTTTTTTCTTCTTGGTCGTTGCTGCTTCAGCCTACTACTTTGCTGTTGCTGCTTCGGCCACTTCAGCCTGCTAGTTTGCTGTTGCTGCTTCGGCCAAGCGTGCTTCCTCAGTGCTTCGACTTCATGTGCATCGCTAAGAAGTTTATTGTCCTTCTTCGACGATGTTGCTCTTGTCGAAGGTCAGGATTGGAGCTTGATGCGCAAGTAACCATTTTTTTTTTCCCCTTTCGCGCGCTTCTTCGTCCAAGTCCCGTAAATTCATCGAACTCCCATATTAGTAAATCTGGGATTTACACCAAATGCCAAGTAACAGTGGATTTTTGATTTAATGGAAGTTGGCCTTTTCTATATTGCTTAGTGATTGCTGTCAAAGTCTCGACAGCCTTTTCCAAACAAAAAAAAAAGTTTCAACATCACACGTTTATGTCTTATTAAAAAATTAATAAATTAATTAAAGACGTCAATATAGTATATTAAGTAAAATAATGAAGAATAAAAAAATATAAAAAGTCAACAATTAATAAGAAAATGTTATATTTAAAAGAAACAAATAAAATATATTTTTATTGTTAATTTTTTATAAATATTTTTATAGTATCTTAATATTTCTTTAATTTAGATAATTAGTATATAATTATTTTTAAAATATATATTCATCTCTTAGATTTTATATATATATATATATATATATATCACTGTACCATGTAATAACATACACAATGCAATACAATCTTTAGTTTATTCTCTCCCTCTCTCTCTGGTTGATTGCTCTCTCCATTCCATCTCCGCTCAGGAGATTCTTCTTTCGCTCTAGCTTTTCCTCATGGTATCAGAGCTAAAAAGCTCTACAGTGCCTTCTTGATCTCTCATGGCAGGAAAAGAATCCGCTGGCTCCCGGCGGGTCACCTCGACGATCTCTAACAACAAAGAAATAGATCTTCTAATCCCACCTCATCTCAAATTCTTGATATCCAACATCAAGAATCTTGTTCCCACCACTCTCACTACCAAAAATTACCAGATCTGGATGCTCCAACTGTTCCAGCATTTATCTGCGAATAGCTACGGTGAGCATCTCATTGGTCAGGTCGTCTGTCCAGTGGAAGCCGACGAATCCGAGCAATCTCACTGGGCTCTCATAGATCGTAATCTTGTCTCAGCACTTCCCTCTACGATCTCACCGTCCATTCTCCCATACGTTATCATGCTCCGCACCTCTCACGACGTCTGGACAACCCTTGAACTCCGATTACAACCTACAAATCGGTCCCGGGTTATACAGCTCAAGAATGAGCTTCACCATATACAAATGAGAGATCGAACAATGCAACAGTATCTTGATCAAATCAAGACAATTGTGGACAACATCGCGGCGGCCGGATCAACCATTGACATGGAAGACATAGTTCTTTATATCCTTAACGGGCTGCCCGCCGCCTACAACTCGTTCAAGACGGCAATTAGAACATCTCTTCAACCCATCAACCTTGACAACTTATATTATTTGTTGAGCAACAAAGAAATAAATTTACAGTATCAACAGCTCCAAGACAGTCATCATTCTGATTCTACTACATTGTTCACAAACCGCTCGGCGAACTACAGGGGAAAATCAAACAAATGTCGGGAAGATGGGTCACTCGACAGTCAATTGTTGGCACTGGTGCAACCTAAGTTATGCACCTCCGACCAATCTGCGGGCGCTTACGGCACAACAGCAACACGCAGTCACCAATGACTGGATCTTGGACTCAGGTGCATCTTCTCATCTTACCGCGAATGCCATGAATCTACAACACTCGAACCCCTACAATGGCTTAGACTCGGTGTCCATCGCAAACGGGAGCAACCTCACTATTCAGAACTCGGGCCAAGGACTCCTCCCTTTACCCGAGTCCATCAGTAAGCTCAATATGAAAAAGATTTTACATGTTCCATCAATCTCCCACAATCTTTTATCTGTTTTGCGTTTAACAACGGACAATAATGTTTCGATTTCTTTCACTGCTAACGAATTTGTTATTAAGAATCTTCAGGACAATCAGGTGCTTCTCCGGGGACCAATTCGCAATGGACTGTATCACATCCCGGCTCCTTCCAATCATAAAGAAGTAGCTATCCCCACAGTCGGCACGCCCAAGATCCCTTAGCATGACTGCCTAGGACACCCTCACACTCGCAAGCTCCAACTTCTGTCCAAACGCATCTCGAAGATTTCTTTAGGCTCTCCTTCTACTATTTGCATCTCTTGTAACATTTCCCAAAATCATAAACAGTCTTTTTCTCGCAGTCTTTCTGTGTGTAATAAACCGTTTCAGCTAGTCCATTCGGATGTATGGGGACCGGCTCCCTCTAACTCGTTTAATGGGTTTCAGTTTTATGTAATTTTTGTAGATGACTACACGCGGTATACATGGCTGTACTTTCTCTATTCAAAGGATGAAGTTTTTACTCAATTTCAGCATTTTTACGCTCTCATTAATAATAAATTTAATACAAGAATTCAAATCTTGCGATCAGATGGTGGAGGCAATTCACCAGCCATGACTTCTGAAATTACCTTGCCCAACAGGGTATTACTCATCAAACTAGCTGCCCCCACACTCTCGAACAGAATGGCACGGCAAAGAGGAAACACAGACACCTGATTGAGCTCACCCGCACTCTCCTTCACACGGCCAGTCTTCCTCAACCCTTTTGGGCCGAAGCTGTGTCCACAGCGAATTACCTTATTAATCGTCTGCCGTCTTCAGCTGTGACATCCCAGGCTTCTATAGTGAAAAGATTCGTCGACAGTCTTAATCAACCTCACTTCTCACTCCCTTGCCCTGACCTGAAAATATTAACCACATATAATGAGCTTCAAAAAGCCCAGCAAGTCACCAAAAAAATTGCTTGTGAAATGCGGATGAGTACGGTCAACCTACAACTAAAATCAAAGCACGGTATAGAAGCAATATGCATGTAAATCAATCAAATCAATATTAACCACTTGCACATGATCAATGAGTCGATGCAGATACGAAAATCAGTATAGAAACAGAATTCAATGCATAAACAATAGAATCCAAAATCATCAGTAGGAGAATCGGTAAATAGTAGAAAAATCCATAATGCCCAATGAATCAGTACATACATCAAAGAAATCAGTGTATCGGTAATACCAATCAAATCAATCAATAAAATCATCAAATACAAATACAATTCAAATCAATCTATGCAATAAAATCATATCGGTATCACATACACATATATCTTTTTCGGTGTATCATACGTATCAGTGTATCACATGTATCACATGTATTAGTCAGTAATCAGTGTATCACGTGCTATAAGATCAGTATAATGAATCAGTATCGGTGAATCAGTAGTATCAGTATCGGTATCGGCAGTATCAATGAATCAATGCAATATCAATATCCCGGTAGTATCAATGAATCAATGCAATATCAATATTCATATCAATGACATGTACAGTATGCAGTATCAATGAAATCGTACAGTAACTGTAAACCCATAAATTCGTCGATAAATCCATTCAATATTAATAAATCTGTCGATATCAGTAAATTCATACAGAAATCAATAAATCCGTTCAATATCGATAAATCAGTTCAATATCAGTAAATCATAAAGTAATCATAAGAACAATAATTTAAACATGCAATTCAACACAATAATCTTACTCGACAAGTACAATCACTGGCTATTAAGGCATTTTTTAAGGTTAATATCGATGTTAGTAATCCGTTGGATCCGTAGAGTCGTCACTCTTTGCCCGTCGGCATAATCTCCTTATGACTCCCAATCGTTGTATCAATGATCAAAAGAGGATAACACCAAATCCTTTTTAAAGGAAAGCCCGTCGGCCCACCATCATGTACAGGTCAAATTAATCTCCAACCAATGGTTCAACCAGTCTTCACTTATCTTTCAATAATATATATAACCGTAATTCACTTATATATCCAAATTCGTAATAATACATTGTAATCAACAAACACAATTTAACTCAATCGAAGAAAATCCTTAAAATATCATATAGTCGTCAGAAATCCCAAACATAGACAAAATATACAATTTTAGAAAATCACCAAATTACCAGAAATAGAATAAAACAACTTTTGAAAGCTTTACTTGTACTGAAGCAATATTTTTCAACATTCAGATAATTTACTATTCGATAAAAATACATCAGAATTCAAAATACCACGTGAAATTTTTATAGAAAATACTCAAATCATGCAAAATCATCACTTCAATAACATTCCAAAGTTATGCGATAAAAGTTTCGTCATTACAAAGATATGCAAGAATTTCGGTAACAGAAACACAAAACTTAGTAGAAAAATATCAAAACACAAAATCTTCGAAATCAGAAATAGGATTAGGATTCCTTACTGCGAGACAAACAATTCTTCTAACAGCGACGTCAGACAAAAATTGCTATGCGGCCTCCAAAACCAAGCCTTTTTCCTTCCTTTTCCTTCTCTTTCTCTCTCCAACTTTCTCTTTCTTCAAAATATCTCAAATCAGATATTTATCGAGCAGGAATGTACGGGACGAATCCTATTCGTCCCGAGACGATTTGCTCTCTGGATACATTTCGTCCCGACGAATTCAGGTTCGTACGGATGAACTCAAGTTCGTACAGGCAGTTCGCACGTACTAACCATATAAATTTTCAGAATTTTCTTCAGTTCGTCCTGTACTAAAGTCAGTTCGTACGGACTAACAGCACTCAAAAAAATTGAAAGTCTGAGGGGTTTTACAATCTACCCACCTTAAGAAAAATGTCGTCCTCGACATTCCCTTAAGGGTGCAAATGAAAATCG